AGCTCTCACCACTGCTTATTTCCTGTTAAAGGAGCAACTGAGATGATCCCTCCACAACGACCCTAACCCACACGCATCGACTTGTGCTGGACGATCCCTAAAAACTCCCTCTGCTGCACCTCCATGTACGTGGGTCACACAGGGTCTCCCAGGAGACCAACGCCCTGGTGCCCAAAGTCACAGTGGAGCCTGACCTCTGACCAGTCACCCTCACCTGATCCAGGCCCTCCTCCATAAGATGGGATCCCATCCTGGATAAAGTGCTTTCACAACAACCTCAGGCGTTACCCACTAGACTTATTAGTGAGGAGGACCCAGGGTCTTGAGTCCAAGGTGCACAAAAGGCGTGGTCCTCACCCTGCACTGGACACTGGTCTTGGGACCAACTTAGTCTCTATTCTTCCCACTAAAATTGAGCACCAATAATTACTGCTCAGAAAGTACAAGTGTACACATTCAAATCTCGTTGAGGAGAATCTAAGATGAACCCAAGCAGACAACGAATGTGCATTCCACAAATACTTATTATGAGCCTCTCGAGTGCCAGGAATTGAGCCACATACAGGAAACACAATGGTGAGCGAGAAACAGAGCGTTATGATGGGAAGGCCAGCCTCAGACACTGGCCACGAGGCGTCCTAATCCACAATGGTCTACACCATGCAGAGGGGCAAGACCAGGTCTGCATGTCAAGAAACCGCTGGGACTCAGAGCTGAGCAGCTGGGACACAGCACAGGCCAGCTGGGGGAGCCATCCCAGGGCTCCTCAGACCACTGTTAACGCTTGTGTATTATTGCTAAAATGTCACTCAAGTTTACATGACAATATACCCCTCTGGTGGGACACAGGTCCTGAGAATCCCACACAGCCCTGAGCACTGGACCCAAAGCAGCGGCTGCAAGAGACAAAGGCGCCACCCGGAGACGGGAGAGTGCTCTGTCCCCCCCCCGCCCCCCCCCAACCCCGGGCCAGACCAACAGCCCTAAGGGCACCGGGCTGGGGAGCAGCATGGGGGCTTCGACGGCCTTCTGTTTCCTGACCATGGGGTTAGTTTGTGATCATGCTAACTAAGCCTGGCTTCTAACTTAAAGTTTATCAGTACTTAATCTGTTACCTTTAAAACAAAAGCTGGCATTTAAACAGTAACTATTAATCGGACCATTCTCTGAAATACACCCCCCTCGACGTGCCCAACCCCTCACTCTATCCTCAAAGCTGACCAGATGGACCCGCTCCAGGGGGTGAGTGGACGGCTAGATCAGGGGGCGTGTCCTCCCGCCCTCCTGTCCTCAGCCCCAGGCCCCTCCCGTTCTCTCCAGGGTTCCCAAATCTGAACCCGCCCTCTGAGCCGGGCAAAGTGGCTGCTCTGTAACTGGCACTCGCCGGTTGGTGTCTTTCGAGACCTCCTCCTGGCTCTCCTGCTGGTCCATGAGCTCTGGGAGAAAGGGGCTATTTTACACTCCTGGCATCACCACAGCTCCCAGGAGAGCGCCACCCACCCCCCTGGCCCCCGAAGCTACTGGAAGTTAAAAATCAGTGGTGATGCGTTCTTCCTTCTCCTGCCCTCAACTGCTGCAGAAGTTTCCAAATCTGCACCCCTGCCCAATCCCTCCTTCTATTTCAAATCTATTAAAAGTACAAGAGTAGAATAATCTTAACTCTATTTTCATTTTTATTACCTCTTCTTCTCTCAAAAACTCCTAGGGGCCCTAATTTTCTCTTGGATCAATGCAGAATCCCTAATAATAGGATTTAAGGCTTTGTCTAGCTGACTTTTTATTTCAGTATATTGTGGTTTCAGATAAATCCCAAAACTCTAGCACAGCAGCAACCAGCCAGGGGCATAGCACAAAGAGGTCCTAAATATTTAACGAACAGATGACTGAATTATACTTTCTCCTAATCCTACTTTTGTGTCTTCACAGATAACATCTTACCAATTTGAGGAAAAGACCAGCCATTTAAGGCCCCATCACTTAAAGCAACAACCGCCCAGGATCCCTGGGCAGGTCTAGTCTCCAGTTCAAAAGGAGGCAATTCATGGTCAAAGATCTTGTTAGTTGCTTCCCTGTCATTCTCAGCACTCAGATAGACCCCTCTGTATACGGTGAGTGCCGACTAAATGCTCTGCAACAGTCTTCTCCAGTACATTACTCTTAAAGAGACCTAAATAAAATAGTCACTTATACATTAATAATGTATTTTAGACAGATTAGTGGCTTTTGTTTTAACAAGTAGGAACATAAGTATTAGCAGGACTTTGAATTGAAAGAGGTTCCTCTCCCCCGCCAAAAATGTGCTAACTATATTTTCCATACTTATAGGATTAAGATGTTGCAGAAAATCTTTTTTCCCTCAGTATTACCCTATCACATAAAAAAAAAGAGCACATAATAATCAGCAATAAAAAGATAAAGCTCATACACAGAACTAAGACACAAAAGTAAAGTGAGTTTTCAGCCTGTCTGACCTCTAAACTGTTGCAGAGGCCACCTGGGAGGACAAAGGTCAGGGGACACGCCTCAGCCCCTGGACAAACAGCCTGGAGTCCTCCAGGGACGCAGAGAGCCAGGGAGAGGCACATGCCTCAGCAGTGTTGTTTTAAAATGGTCTTTTCCTTTACATCCAGGGTATTTTTCTGACTCTTCTCACCCTAACGAGTCAGTATGGACACACAACTCCAAAAAGCGGTCAGAGAAATGCGACAGACATGACAGCTGTTTTCCTGCAACTCTTCCCAAGGCGGCAGGTGAACAGGGTGGGACGCCCTGCACAGGCCCAGCCCCAAGGCCGCCAGTCCACCCAAAGCGCCACAGGGAGCAGTGACTTCCGTCACTGTGACTGTGGACCAGATGAGACCGGGGAGTTAAGATTTCAAAGGCTCCACGATCAGCCCAAACGTAAAACTATCTTCCAAATGGCAAAAAATAATTTTCTATATTAGATATTGGAATTATATAATTATAATTAATCATTTTAGCTTGAATTCTGGGAACTAAGTGTATTTCATTAAGGTTTATCAGAAATATATTTTGTTAAGGTTTATGAGAGTTGCTATGAAACACAATAATTGGGGGGGAAGAAAAGAGACAATTTGTGTTTACTGGGCCGTGGATGGATGACTGACAGTGGATGATGTCACTAATAGGCAATTATAACATTCAGCATTCCAAAACTATTTAATAATTTGTTTTGAAGAAATACAGCTTCCAAAAGAACAAAAAGACAATCTTAATATTTATTTGGATAGTTGCATGCTAAAATAAAGTTAAACACATAGGATAAAGAAATTAACTCCAACCTAAAAAAGTATCCAATACTTAGTCAAATTTTAGTCCAACTTAAAAATGGATGGGTTCCAAAAGTTTGTAAATGAATTATTCAGAATAGTCAGTGCATTTCCCGTGGAAAAAACATTTCCTATGGCAATGTTGTAGATAGTAGCAAGGCTTCCAGTGTAACCCACAAAAACCAGATTAAACATTAGGTACACATATGGCTGTATAGCATCATGGTAGCAAAGCATGTACTTTTTAGAGCAAAGCCCCTGGACCCCTCCTGGCTCTGTCAGTCCCCAGGAGTATTTCCCTGGAGTTGGGTCCCCCAGTCGCCAGCAGGAAGTACGTCCCCAGGAGTGGACTCCTCTGGCCTGCAGGACACCAGGACACCTGCCAGCTGGAGGGGCTCCACTGAGGCGCCCGAGATGGGGAGCCCCAGTACCCCGGCGTGCTCAGGTGCGAGGCTGGTGCCGAATGTATGTCAGGGAGGTCTACACGGCCCCGGTGGGGTTAACGCCGTCAGGCCAATGCCACAGCAGCACCTCACTTACCACCACTACACACGGTCTTTCCAGATGCCTGTGATTCTGAAACTGAGGACTACATGGGGTTCAGCCTTCGAAACGATAAGGTTCATGTGACCCACTTAAGCTTTCCAAATATCTGGGCAGCTCCCTCCCTAATCCATAAGGCAGTTACACTGTAACACAGCCTCCCTGTAAGCAAAACGAAGCATTTGTTACGAGCCGAGTGTACATGAATCAATGCAGGGCTCACAGGGGCCTGTCCTTCAGGAAAACAGGGTCCTGGGTGGAGCCGCCACTCAGCGGCACGTGAGAGACACATGCGGCACAGGGCGGGGCCGGGGAAAGCGGGCTGCCAGTCAGTTTGGACGGAGCACGGCCGGAAGGGCCGGTATGCAGACCACTGGACTAGGAGCAGCGCATACGCCCAGCCCAACGGCGCCTCCCAACAGAGCCTCCCAAGGGCTCCTCCCAACAGGCGCCTCCCAAGGCGCCTCCCAACGGCTCCTCCCACCCGCACTGTTACAAGCTCAGACGTTGCTCTAAGTAAGACAGTAGCATTAAGACAGCTAAAATTACACACTGCTTGAGGAAAGAGGCTATGATGAGAGAAACCCAAATTCACCGTTTACACTAATTCTCTATATGACTGGATCGTTCCACCGAAAAGGTTTCTTCTGCTCCCTAATTCATAGATTAAGATGCTCACTGGAATGGAACAACCCACGCTGGGGCCAGATCTACGTACCACCGCCACCCAAAACATCTAGCGCGAGGAGCCACGAAACGTGACAGAAAACAAGCTTTCTTGCTATGGAAAGCAAAAAACGTGACAAATTAAGAGTTTTGCTTAACACTTATAAAATGCCTTTTCACTCAGTTATATTTTCACTTACATAACTGACTCATGCAAAGCTGCCTTATTAGTACAGATAAGGAAAAATAAAGAAAAAACTTTAGAATTAAAATACATATATATGACATTTTTAATCCTAATTTTAATAAAATTGTGAATCACTAAACCTGCATAATTATTTTTGTTGTCAATGATAATTTTTCTTCCATAAGTACTTTATGGGCTCCACCCAACTCGTGGCCTTGTCTTAGAGGCAGACTCTAGGATCCTAGTTTATTGTCTTTAAAAATGAAATTACAGATGTTACTGTAGCAAACTGGATGCTACTGTGGTGTCCTCACCTTCCTCTGGTGACCTTTTGCAGAACCTTCATTCCCGCCAGCCTGCAGGACTTGCCCTCCAACTCCCTGTCCTTCAGGACGGCGCCCTCCGAGTGCACCTCACTGAAGAGTCCAAGGGCATCTTGCACGAGAAGGCAGACTCTACAAAAAAGGATCCACATTTGCTCTTTTAGGAGACAGTTTTTGATTCAGTACAGAGACCAGAATTTCCTTCTCCTTCACTAGAAATCCACTGTAGATCCACCGTAGAAATCTACTTCCATTTAAAACATTTCAAATTATGTTTTATCAAACACTAATATTCAAAGATATTAATAGGTATTCCTTGAAAATTATCACCAAAATGTTGCTAGCAATAACTTTTCTAAAATTTACTTCATCAGATCTATGGAGAAAAAAATACATTGAAATCACATACAATTATTACTATGTTCAATTCTTCTTGCAATACGATATTTTATACCCAAGAACACCAGGAAATATCCCTGACTGCTCGCCTGATGCCCATATGGTTTTAGTCTGTTCAGGAGCAATATGTAGCAGGTGGTACCCAGAAGAATGTCCTATCTATCTTAAATATATTAGTCTTAACATTTCCATATGTGTGACATTATTTAATATGTTGTAGCTATAAGACATTTATATAGTACAAACTCATTTCTCATGGTTGACTGGAAAAAGAAAATTTTACACAAAGAGTAGGGTTCTGTGGCTTATAATTAGGTCTGGATCAAACAAGTGAAAAGCTAGAATACTTCAAAATGAAGATGAACAATGGTGGCCTTTGGATTTTACAAAAATGAGGAGCTGAGTTGCCTAAAGTAGAAAAATTAATGTTCAATCCTACTGACTTAACCTCAGGATTTAAAGGTCAAAAAGAAAGTGGGATGTAAGTTATTTGTTTCTTCCAGAATTCTGAATATTGTCCCACTGCCTTCTAGTCTTCCACTGTTTCTAACGAGAAGTCCCTTGTTACACGAGGAGTCACTTTTCACTTGCTGCTTTCAAGACTTTATCTTTGGCTTTCAACATTTTGACTATGACGCATTTGGGTACGGGTCTTTTTAGGTTTATCCTACTACAAGTTCATAGAGTTTCTTGGATGTGTAAAGTTTTCCAGTCCAATTTGACCCATCTTCAGCCATTATTACTCCAAATATCTTTTCTGTTCCCTCCCCCACTCCCCTGCCCTTCTGGCGCTCCCATTACATGTGTATTGGTGCACTTAATGGTGTTCCACATTTCTGAGGTTCTTCATTCTTTTCTCCCCTTAGAATATTTATTTGTCATTTGTGAGATTTCCATAATAGTGCAGAGATAATCATGGTATGTTTTAATTCTTCATAAAGACTAAGTTATTAAAAAGTCTTCACAAGCATTTTTTTTAATTGCTAAAATACTCTGCAGTCATCAATTTGAGATTAAGTTTTAACATCGTATTGAAATTACAATCCTCTTTTCTTGGGGAAGAGTTTTAAGTTTGACAAAGGGCTTACAAATGTGCAATGCTTCCCAAATCTGCATGTCATGTGCACAGGGGCTATGCTACTCTCTGTATGTTCCAATTTTGGTGTAAGTGCTGTCAAAGTGAGCACTTTTCATTTTGTCTCTCCTTCGGGCTGCACTAGCTCCATTATTCTAGATCCAAGTCCGTGGATTCTTTCTTCTTCCAGCTCAAATCTACTGTTGAGCCTATCTAGTGAATTTTTCGTATCAGTTATTATACTTTCCAACTCCAGAGTTTCCATTTGGTTCTTTCCAGTTTGTGTCTTTTTACTGATATCCTCCTTTTGATTAGACTCTGTCATCTACACACTGTAGTCTGGAGACATGGTTCCCTCTGCTCTTTGAACGTATTTATAATGGCTGTTTTAAAATCTCTGTCTGCTAAGTCCAACAACTGGGCCCTTCAGAAGCGGCTTCTATCATCTGCTTTTTCCCTCATGTATGGGTCATGCTTCCCTGTTTCTCTGCAAACCTTGCAATTTTTGGTTGACAACTGGGCGTGCTGGATAGTAAATTGCGGCAACTCTGGATCCTTGACTCCTCTCCGCCAAGGGTTGATGATGTAGTTTACTCACTTGCTCAGTGACTGTCTGCACAGCTCTTCCCTGCAGGCTGCAGTCTCTGATGGTCCTGCTCAGATTGTCTTCTTGTTTTCATCTTTTCACATGGCTACCCAGAGGCTGCCCCTAGGTCAGCGAAGCCACTTATTAGTGAGAGGCTGTGCTTGAGCATCCTTAGCCAGTCAGACTTTTAATCTTTACCACTGGACATGTGTGTCTTGGAGGCTGATCTCATAGTTCAAGGAGTGCAGGTTTTTGTCCTCATCCCTCTCCTTTGGCCAGAGCTCATATTTCCCCTCCCTAATCACACCTGTGAAGATGTGGCCTTGGGCAGGTCAGACGGCCAGACCTGTGTGCGATTTTAAAGTCTGGCTTCCCAGAGCTGCCCCTGGTTCAAAGCAGCCAACTGTTCATCTAGTGTGGTTGGAGGTGGTCCTGAGGCCTTCAGGGAAGTGAGGCTCGTACCCCAACCTTCCCATGCGGGCCGTCAGTGCTCCTGAGAGCACACCCTTCCTGTCTCTCAAGTCTGACTGTGATTCCAGGAGGGCTCTTGGTGGTCTCTTTTCCCTGATTCTCTCTGCTAACTTTTCATTGCTCTGTCCTTTGCTTGTTGATAAAGAGTCAGGAAATTACAAGCACTCTCTGAACCTCTCTCCACCAAGATCCTCATTGTTTTCAACAACACTCATGGGCATGGAATTCTCCCGCCATCTCATGCAGCCCTACAGAGCTCTTCTTCTTCGCCATAACCTGTCTCCCTCTGGGCAGTGCCCCCTTTGCCTGGACTGACACCTCTGCTCTAGAGTGGGTGCGGGGGGGGGGTGGCGCTGGTCTTCTACGCTAGCCTCTCTGCGTGGTGCATCTACCCTGTGGCGGGCTGGGGTAGGACAACTGGGCCAGTATTCTTGGCCCACCACACCTGGGGTTGAGCTTCTGCAACAGGGGCCTGAGGATAAGGGATGCTAGTGGGCAGCCCTCCTAGAGTGAAATGTGCCCTGGACTGGGAGTTGAGGGGAGGGGGTTGTCTTCTTGACTGCACTCCCTGGAGTAAAGCCTCAGAGTAGCAGTGGTTGGGGGGGCGGTCAGGGCTCAAGGGCCACAGACTCACTGTTCTTAGTGAGATTTATCAGATTTTCTTGGTCCCATTGAAGGAATGTTTCCCCATTTGCTGTATGCCCTTAGGACAATTTCCAGAGGCTTCACATGACTGTTTTTTACAGCTTTCTCCAGTTGAAACTCCGCGAAGGGGAGAATCCACTGTGTAAGCGGAGATCCTCTGGATAGTTAGCATGCGCCGTGTAAGAAAATACAATGGCTCTGTAGCCGCTATTTCCAGGTTCTGAGAGCATCTGGAAACCCTCCGAGTTTGTAGACTTACGTGTGAGCTGTTCTTTCTTTCTTAAAAGACATCTTGATTTGCTTGAACACAAGAACTGAGCCAAATACAAAGTTACCGGGTCAGACACAGAAGCGCTTGATGTCGCGAGGTCTAGAGGGCTGCAGAGCCTCAAAATCAGTGTCACAAGATTTTGAGTAACAGTGGCACATACGGGGTTGTCAATGTACCCCAAACAGTGCCCTGGCCTTAGGGGTGTCTATTTATGTGCTAAACACAGCAGGACTGCTGCGGGCCCAGGCCTGTGCAGGTGCCCTCTGAACCTCCCTAGGAACAGGCCTGGCACAGGTAAACATACAATCACAGGCTGTGGGATTACAGGACGGAAATAACAGAGAGCCTGTGAGAAAGCACTGGGGTGGAATGGCCTGGCCAGGTGGTTAGGGAAGGCTCCTTACAAGAGGTGATCTTTAACCTGTGTCCTGAAGAAAGAGAAGCCCACCCTGCACAGGGTTGAAAGAAGCACACTTAGAGCAGAGAGCACAGCACACACAGAACCTGGGATGGCAACGAGCTTTTCCATGTTTGAGAAGTTGAAAGAAGGCTGGAAAATAATACAAAAGAAAGAAAAAGAAGACAGGGGGAAAGTGGTAATAAGGGGAAAGACTATGTACTACGTGGGTATTTCCATGCATTGCTCCTGATTTAAAATCAAAGTTATGTTTATGAAAAATTAAAAACTCGAGGCACTTGTAAAGGGGCGGGATGGGGAACGGGGAGGAGGCAAGGGCATCTCCCTGGAGGGGCGCCTCTGCTGTGGAGTGCTGTGCGCAAAGGCCCGTGCCGGGGGCTCCCTGTTTGTGGGCGGGGGGGGGGCTGCCTGGGCCCACGTGGTGAATCGCTGGCCCGGTCCAGCCAGCACCCCCGCCTCCCGCCACGGGCGAGTCATGGGGGACACTAACAGGCGTTAGACCAAATGCTCCGTTTCAGAGATACAACCGCTGGCACAGGCAGGAGGCTGGCTTGAACCGAGCACTTTCAGAGAGCCTCGGCGGTCCGCGTGTGAGTTCGCTGCCCTAATCGATGGAAACAGGGGGCCTGCAAAGTGCTACTCACAGGCTGAGCTCCACTGGCTCATGTGTTTTCTTTAGTTTATAAAGTGTTAAATTTTTTTAAAAAATTAGCAGCAAATATTAAAAATTAAGGGATTTTATATAAAATTCGTTTCCTGTTTTCCTAAGAAGCCTGCGGCTCTGGCAGTACTGGGTGGCTGACACTCATCGTCAGGCACCAGCCTGTCCGGTCATCACGTGGCCCCACCCGCCCCCCAGCCGTCACGCGAGTGCGTCCCGTTGGCCTCGGTCAGCAGGTGGGCCTGCGTGAGGGCAACATCTCAGGGCAGAGACTGAAGCACACAGTCTTGGGGGATGGACAAGGGACCGGAAGAGTCTACACTGGCCTAAGATTTCTGAAGAGGTGAGTGGAGTGGAGAATGAAGCGCAGCCCCGGGTGTGGGCAGCCCAGACGTGGGTCTCATTTCAGAGCGGAGGAGCCAGGGAATCCAGACCAGCCAAGTGACTTGAGCCGGGAGGTCACGGACAGAGCTGACCGACACGGGCCCGGGGGAGGACAGGGCTCGCCGCAGGGCACGGAGGGCTGGGCCTGGCCCTGCCCCAGCACCAGCCAGCTCCTGGCTGCCCGTCCCCGTGGACACGGGGGGCCGGCTCTGGACGCCACGT